TTCAATCACTTTAAAATAGTAGTAAATGAAAATGCATCAATTTTTCTTCCGGATCCTGAGAGTCCTGTACCTCCCAGGGTGTGTTACCCTTGGCAGAAACACTGCCACCCAGACAGCTGCAGTTCTTAGCCTGCTGTAAGCAAACTTGTGAAGTATCTGCTTGTGGCTTATCCCTGCCCTTTCACCCATTCCCCAGTATTTTGGGGGAGCCTTCTCGGAATTCTTCATTTTCTTTCCTGAATGCTAACGCTTTTTTCTGGTCTGCATTCTACATTCTAGAGCTTGGTTATTAACTGAGTATAGGGATGGCCTGATTTATAGATTCCATATAGATCAGAGATTGTGCCAAAATTGAAGATAAAGACCATAGTTGTTTTATTGTCTTGGATTATCATGCCAATTTAATTTAAGCTTTTTCGGGACAGAAACAAGATCTCCTTTTAGTTTGACATTTTCTTTCCTCCTTTATTTCAAACCATACATGTGCCCTTTGTAGTAAAATTAGTCAATGAGAAAAAAAAATAGCACCTAAGACATATACTGAAACACTGTTTAAACTCAAAGATATTTAAAGACATATTAAAGATATTTTTTTAACATGCACATGCACACATACATTTATCATCTCAATTTGAATACAGCACTGATTACAAGGTTGCAAGGTAACCCATTGATTTCTCAATAGTGTTTCTTGCTGTTTGCTTCTGCTTTCGTGTGTGTTTCTGGGGAGGCAAAAATGCTATCGCGTTAAAATCATGTATCAATCGTAAAACACATCTCCATTTCAGATACATTAAAATGTGAAGAAGGAAAAACAAAACCTCTGAGAGGAAATATTCTTTCATAAAATGAGATCACACTGCTTTAGAACTTACTGTTTTGTTACCTGCTTTTATCACTTAACATTTTGGGCCATTAAATATTTTTCAACAACAGCTTCTTTAATACTGTATAGACAGTGTTCCAGTGAATGGCGATTCCAGAGCTTATTTAACCAATTCTTTCTCAGTTGCTTCTTCTTATAAAAATCCTTGCTAGTTCCTGGTATGGTGTGAATGCATTCACTAATCATACATTCATTTGTTCAGTGGGTTGATTACTGACTGAGTGTTTACAGACCTGGCCACTGTATGTGGTACTGGCCCTTGGGGGATTCACAGCTATGTTAAAAATATGTTAAAATCGGTGAAGTGCTGAAAACAGACGATTCCTAGTTAATATTAGTCACCTGTTGATGGCAATTCACAAGTTTGCTAATTATTTTTTCTTGTTTCAAGTATTCTCTTCCCTTTACCAAATCAAATGTTGGGACATTCACCTTTCACAGTGAATCTTAATTCCGCTTTGATGCACTGGAGGCCTCAGTGCTGTCTATTTTTTTTCCAACTTAGTTGACCCATTCGTTGAATGGTTCCTTTTTGTGGGAACTTGTGCTAGAAATTGTCTGTGGCGACCAAAGGAAACATTTTTGTTTCGGAGAGAGAACTTTTCGTTTTTTGTTCCAAAGTTTAGAATTTCTGTGTTTCCTATTGCTGTACTGCTTTACAGCAAAATGCCTCAGGAATACAAAGAAGACTTCCTTTCCTCCAATGAATCCTGATTCAGAAATTAATTTCTGTTGGCCTGGCAAGTTCATCCAGCACCCATATTGACGGCGGTGTATCTTAGTTAGCGGCTGAGGAAAAGGCCCCAGGAGACTCTGATTATGGTGATGAGGGTGTTCTTTATACTCATCCCTTATCATTCCTGACTGCAGTGTATACTGAGCTTGCCTCTCTTGTCTGTATCACCGGGAGACAGCTCAAAGCCCTGAATGTTCTCTCTTGTCTCAAATATTCCAGCCTCTATGCACTTCTTCCACACCCAGCCCACCTCCTCTTTGGCACTCTGACAAAGTCACAACCCTAGTGTTGCTAAAAGAAGTTTTTGGATGTTTGGAAAAGGCCAGTTTCCCAGCATCTTTAAGTCAGGTACGCATTTATCCAGATACTCTTCGGGTAGAGGAGGGATGATGGACCCTCATGAACATCTCAACCTTCTGGTTGATTAGAGGGAAGCTGAATGGATTGAAAGTTAATGAATGGGAGTTCATTTGTGACTTACATCTTCCCCCTCTGGCTTAACCACTCATGGCCTCCACTCACAGCAGTCTTTCTCTGGCAGAGGGAGTAATACGCTATTTTACGCTTGAGCACCCAGAAGCCATTGATGTAAACTGATCAGTACGTTTTTTGTATTTTCCTGAAATTCTGTTTACATGCACATTCCTCTTTGTCTGTAAAGTGATTTGTATCATAAAGCCCCATCCATTTTTTCCCCGTTGTTATAATGCCACTAAACTCATTAGATATTTTTGTGTTTAAAGATTCTCGCAAAAAATAATCGTGTGACTATATAAGACATATATAATTTTTTAAAGTCAAACCTGATGAGTATTAATAAAAATGATAATGGAGGCTTTATGTTTGTGTTTTAAACATAGTAATTGGTCGACTGCATGTTCTTTAGTGCCAGAGGATCAGAACAAAATGGACTCAAATGTGAAATAACCCGTCTGTTCTTCATTTTACATTTTGAGTGGTGTTTCATTTACCTTTAGAAAATTTCCCAAACCTTCAGACAAATACTTGATGAAATGACTTGGGTTTGAAAGGCATAAGCAAATTAGTTTCTGTGCAAACCTTGTGTCCCCATTCAGAGAAGAACAAATTGAAAAATTGATATTCAATACCAACAAGATAATTTCGGGAAGCAATAGAACATTGTTTTGACAACTAAGGAACATGAAGCTTTTAGGACAAGTAGAGAGAGCTTTGCACATTGTGCTTTCCATTAATTATCCTAAGACATTCTAGGTGAAAAGAAAATGGGAAGGAAAGGTAGGAAGAGAAAGATTTGAAGATGATTTGGAGACATGCAACGGTATTTCAAGTGGTGCCAGGGACTGGATAGCATAAACCATTGCTTCCTTTGCATTCTTGTAACATCTTCTGCTGATTTTATCATTTGAAGTCAGACTTTCAAATCCTGTGTATTGGGAAACACAGGATTTTTTTTTGTTACCTTGACCTGGAGACATCTGCATTTCTTTGGCAGTTTTTAAATTTTTCTAAATGAGTACATTGTTCAGCCTACTCTGATGTCTTTTTAGCGGTTAGGTGGTACGGCTAAGACGGCTGATAGCCTGACATAAGGGCAGACTGTAAAACTGTGTGCGTGTCTGTTGAGAAAGAGAGACTGAGACAGAGGCAAAGAGAGTTCTTCTGCTTACATTTAAATAACTCACTTACGGATAACATTTGTATTATGTGTTCTCTTCAGTCACACAGAATTTTGCCCCCGTCTCTTAATACCTGTAAAACAAATTTTGCATCTGTAAACATCTATCGTGAACATCAAAGGTAAACATTTCTTGTGGGATAACCTTGTACTCTTACAGAGTGGTCTGCAATTCTGTTATTTGCAAATGTGTTTGTATTTTGTTGATGATATTAGTAATTTGTAATTTTTTTCTAACTAGAATATTCTTTTGTGTGTGTGTGTGATGGAGTCTCACTTTGTCACCCAGGCTCTGGCTCAGTGGCGTGATCTCGGCTCTCTGCAACCTCTACCTTCCGGGTTCAAGGTGTTTTCCTACCTCAGCCTCCTGAGTAGCTGGGATTACAGGCACCTGCCACCACGCCTGACTAATTTTTGTATTTTTAGTAGAGACAGGGTTTCGCTATATTGGCCAGGCTGGTCTCCAGCTCCTGACTTCAGGAGATCTACCTGCCTCAGCCTCCCAAAGTGCTGGGATTACAGGCGTGAGCCACTGTGGCTGGCTTAGAATGTTCTTTCTTAATGGAACTCATGACAAAATGAAAACATGATTAATTTTTTTTCTGGAATGTGGAGTTGTGTGTCCTCTTTTCCACTTGTTTTTTCTTTCTCTGAGTTACGTTGTAAGCGCTTTCACACAAAGAAGTTTCTGAGCCTTCTCTGTGCTTGGATGTCATAATACACACCAGGTGGGAGCTTAGAATGTGTTTACATTTGATGATCACGTTTGCAAGATCTCTTTTGATCGCTGGATAAGTAGCAGGTTTTTTAAATTCCATTTTAAGTTTTGGGGTACATGTGAAGAACATGCAAGGTTGTTGCATAGGTACACACATGGCAGTGTGATTTGCTGCCTTCCTCCCCTTCACCTATATCTGGCATTTCTCCCCATGCTATCTCTCCCCAACTCCCCACCCCCCGCTGTCCCTCCCCTATTTCCCTTCAACAGACCCCAGTGTGTGATGCTCCCCTCCCTGTGTCCACGTGTTCTCATTGTTCAATACCCGCCTATGAGTGAGAACATGCGGTGTTTGATTTTCTGTTCTTGTGTCAGTTTGCTGAGAATGATGGTTTCCAGGTTCATCCATGTCCCTGCAAAGGATATGAACTCACCCTTTTTCATGGCTTCATAGTATTCAATGGTGTATATGTGCCACATTTTCCCTGTCCAGTCTATCATCGATGGGCATTTGGGTTGGTTCCAGGTCTTTGCTGTTGTAAACAGTCCTGCAATGAACATTTGTGTGCATGTGTCCTTATAGCAGTTTGTTTTTTTAAATTCATTTACTTGTTAAGAAAATATGGAGAGCATGTAATGCATTAGATATCGTGTGTGCTAAGTTCTGAGGACACAGGAGACATGATATAATCCCAGTCTTCATATAACTTATATGTAGTGAAGGAGACAGATAAAATACAACAGAACCACAGAAGAGGTAACAAATGAGCCAAACTGGTTGATGCAAGTATAATAGCTAAAACTCATGGTTTCAGAGCTAAGTGGAGACCCAAAGGGAATATGGAGGCTGACATACCTGAGAAGTCTAAAGATGATAGGCCTTCAGAACCAGGTGGATGCAGGTCATCTCACCATGTCATTGAAACTCTGACTCAGTTTCTCAGATATGTTTTCCTATGTGTCCCCCAGCAGGATGGCTGAGGCAGCCAGCAGTAGATTCAGGCTGACATCCCACTGTTACAGCAGCCCCAGTGGGTTGATCACACTCATCCAAGAAGTAGTAGGCTCCAGGAAAAGTTTTGAGGCCAATTTCGTTGCACATGAATTGAGTCCCTTACCTACCCCTGAACCAATCCCTGACACTAAATATCTGATCCTGTGTAAAATACTTGCTGTTTGGATCTGGGAGTGGAGTCAGACCCAGTAAAATAGGGACTGAGCTGGGCACAGTGGCTCATGACTGTAATCCTAGTACTTTGGGAGGCTGAGGCAGGTGGATCACCGGAGGTCAGGAGTTCGAGACCAGCCTGGCAAACATGGTGAAAACCTGTGTCTACTAAAAATTCAAAAATTAGTTGGGAATGATATTACAGATGTGAACCTGTAATCTCAGCTACTCGGGAGGCTGAGGTAGGAGAATCACTGGAACCTGGGAGGCAGAGGTTGCAGTGGGCCAAGATTGCATCACTGCACTCCAGCCTGGGTGGCAGAGCAAGACTCCAACTCAAAAACCAACAAATAAACAAACAGAAAACAGAGACTGAGAATAGGGATGTGGTGGTTTCCTAGGAAATTTTAAAGAGCTGTTACCAGAAAGTGAAATGAAGCCTGGTTAGGTAAAAACAACAGATGCCTCCTGTACAAATGGACACATGCTTTCATTTGCAAGGAGATCCAGAACAAAAGCAAAAAGCATGCATGGGTGACAGAACAGTGAGAGGGGTGTTATGACTGGTGACTTAGAGAAAACTTTTCCAAGAAGGTGTCTTATCAGCTAGGACCTGAGAGCTAGGAAGTTGCTGTGAGGTGGGAGGATGTTAGGGAGGTGTGGCAGTGTAAGGAGGACATTGTGTGCATTGAAGTTCCAGAAGGCCAGGCTGGCTCAGCCTCCGATGGGAGGCGCATGGTCAGAGAGAGTTCGAGTTCTGAAACAGGTGGGAATCAGCGCCTGGTAGTTTATCGTTGCTTTGCATTTCCCCCAGTATGAAAGACCCCAGCATCTCCCATGCGACACCCTAGTGTTAAAACATTGGGAGAGAGAAGAACGTCATAGAATGTGGAGAAGAGTAAGAGAGTGAGTGGAATGTTCTTTTCTGTCTTAGTTGAAAAGCATTAGAGAAATGTGGAGTCATTTCTGTCTAGGATTTTAAGCACCTCTCCATCTGCCTAAAATAATCAAATTCCATCCAATTAGACGCTGCTACCACTCATAACACGCAAGTCTGCACGTTTACTACACCCAGGGTTTCTCTGCATTCAGTTTTGATCTATATTTTCAAAGAAACCTGACCCCCAAATCGCCACGATGATTCCTTTACAGGTGCTGAGTCAGCAGGAAGCTAGTACGTATTTACGCAAGGATTCTGATGAAAGGGGGGAAAAGGAAAATCTAAAAGAAGAAAAATACAAAATATATGGAAACTCTGAGGTCTCCTGCTGAGGTGGGAAGAATGAGTTGGGGAGTCCTTGAATAAATCATAGCGGCACACACAATGGCCTGCTTTGTCTAGTAAACTGAACACTTTTGGTTGAGGATCAGAAATACAAAACAGTTTGATAATAGTGAGTGTTGTGAGGAATTTCAAGTGTTTTCAAGGGCGTTTGACTTAAATGAGCTCCGTGATGGAGTATTCAAGTAAAGCCAGTGTTGTTAATGTGCTATATTAAAAGGCTAATCAAAGAGGCAAGTGGTGCAAGTGAGACCAGGAACATAATTAGTTAATGGAAGATTGAAAGCAATATGGAAGGGGCAGAAAATGTTTTGTTGTTGCTTTTAGAACTGTTGCCCAGGCTGGAGTGCAGTGGCGCAATTGCGGCTCACTGCAACCTCTGCCTCCTGGGTTCAAAGGATTCTCCTCCCTCAGTCTCCCAAGTAGCTGGGATTTCAGGCGAATGCCACCATACTCAGCGAATTTTTTTTTTTTTTTTTTTTTTTATAATTGGGTTTTCACCATGTTGGCCAGGCTGGTCTCCAACTCCTGACCTTGTGATCCACCTGCCTGTGCGTTTCAAAGTTCTGGGATTACAGGCGTGAGTCACTTCATCCAGCCAACCAAAGTTGGTCTTTTTGATTGACGGCTGCCTCCTTTTGGTGGGTCAGTGTCTAAAATATGTCTCTTGTTAAATAGTTTGCCAATCACCCTTGTCTAGTACCTTTCTTGAAAGGTTATGGTGAAAGGCTATATTGCCAAAAAAGTACTTGGAATCAGAGATGGCAGATAGTAGATGTTTAGTAAAAGTTAGCTACAACCATCAGTACTGTTATCATTACAAAAAAACTAAGTACAAACAATTTCTTCTGCATGTGTGTGGGTGTAGAATGAAGGAGGGTAGATATAGGGCAGGAGAGATCACTCTATCTAGCTTCAGTAAGAAATGGCTCAAAAATCAAGGAATTTCAAGACAGCTATGCCTGGTGTAAACTCACATTGTACCAGGTTCTCGTTGTAGGATCTTTCTCGGGTGTTTTATTTAACCCCTCTTTTAAATGGGGCTCATACCAGAAGGGGAATGGGATGAAATAATAAAACCATTTTCAGTGTCTAACTGAGTGATTTGCACTGACATGTGAGACTTTGTGGTCTTTTCTTCTCCTATTACTTGTAAACCAAAAAGTATCTGAGACAAGTCTCAATCACTTTAGGAAGTCTGTTTTGCTGAGGCTAAGGATGCACCCTTGACACAGCCTCAGGAGGTCCCGAGGACACGTGCCCAAGGTGGTCGGGAACAGTTTGCTTCTATACATTGAAGGAGACATGAGACATCGATCAATACGTGTAAGATTTATACATTGGTTCTTTTTTTTTTGAGATGGAGTCTCACTCTATAATCCATGCTTGAGTGCAGTGGTGCTGTCTCAGCTCACTGTGACCTCCACCTCCTGAGCTTAAGCGATTCTCCTGCCTCAGCCTCCCAAGTAGCTAGGATTACAAGTGCCCGCCACCGCGCCCAGCTAATTTTTTGTATTTTTAGTAGAGATGGGGTTTCACCATGTTGGTCAGGCTGGTCTTAAACTCGTGACCTTCTGATCTGCCTGCCTCAGGCTTCCAAAGTGCCGGCGTTACAGGTGTGAGCCATAGTACCTGGCCAGATTTACATTGGTTCTATCTGAAAGGGTGGACACCTCAAGGAGGAGCGTGCTTCCAGGTCATAGGTAGATTTAAACATATTCTGACTGGCAAGTGGTTCAAAGAGGTATCAGTAGAAAGGAAATGTGTGGGTTTCAATAAGGGTTTGTGGAGAACTAGGTTTTATGTGGATGCAGCCTCTAAGTAGCAGGTTTTAGACAGAATAGACTGTAAATGTTTCTTATTAGACTTAAGGTTTGTGTTGATGCTAATGCTGGTGAGGCATGTTCAATCCTCACTTCTTATCATGGTCTGAACTAGTCTTTCAGGTTCAATTTTAGATTGCCCTGGCCAGGAGGGAAGTCCATTCCGATAGTGGGGGGTGAGGGTAGTCACCTTCAAATTTTATTTTTGGTTTACATACTAAATAAAGCTCTTGGGTGAAGGAAGCAGTAAAGAAGCTTTAGAGGGGGATGCAGAGGAAACAAGATTGACGTTGAAAGGAGTTTTCAAATTTGTGTGTTAAAGGAATGAATATTCAGTGCCTATATCAGTGTTGTGATAATCAGTAGAAGAAAATGCTGGTGAAAATTTCTCTTTTTAAAAAGAACACTGATTCTTTCTGAAAATAAAAGTCGTACTTGGACATTATGAAACAGTTGGTTGTATGAAGTAGAATGTGAATCCCCCCAACCTATTACTCATCACTGTTAATGGTTTCGACATATTTTCTCATCTTTTAAAACAATATATTTGAATTTACTTAGATATCCTTTTTCCTCCAAAACAGAATCATACTGTAAACATATTTTCAGACAAATCATCTCATAAACATTTTCTAATGTTACCAGTGATTTGGGAAAACGTGGGTTTTTTTTAAGGTTGTAATTTTTTTTTTTAAACCGTAGTTTATTTACCCATTTGTCTATTGTTGGATGTCAGGTTTTTCTTGACATAGCCTGTTATAAATATTAATGAAATGAACAATAACTACTTTAAAAATATACAAAATGGACAAAGGCGGTGAACAGAGGATTCAGAAGGGAAGAAAGATCCAATGGCCGTAAATATAGGACACTGTGTTCATCCTCCCCAATGTCAAATGAATGCAAACTAAAAATGTTTTGTCAAATTGAGAAACGTTTTGCAAAGGGTAATACTATACTGACTGCTAAACATTTTTAAAGGTTTGTAAGTATGAAGGATTTTAAAAAATGAAAGTGATTGTACTTTGTAGCCTGATCAAGGATTATTTTTTGAGGAAATAGACATATAGTGAAAAAAATGTTATGTACAAGGATATCCGGTACAAAATTACTTATATACAGTGAAACATTTCTCAAGTTTTTGCTCAGATAATAAAAGCCAATGTTCTCTGCTGTGGTATTTTTAAGGTACTAAATGACCCCTGCAGTTGGTTGCTCAGTGTTAAGATAGTCACAGCTGTGCGTGCGGGCAGACCTGGCCTCTGCAGGACCCATTTTTGTGGCTAGGAATTTATTCTTTCTGTCCCAGCACGGCATTGAGGAAAAGTGAGTGAGGTGCCAGTTTTCCTCTAGCTTGGATGAATTTATGGTGCATCATTGTGCTTGGAGAAAATGCTATTTATTGAAAATAAAAGGGAAAATAGGAAAAAACTGTAATACTTATAGGTGATTGCAAGAAAACTCTTGGATATCGTTCCAGAGTCTTGGTAATAGTAGTTACATAATATAGCAGTGAATGTGTGTGAGAGATTAGAGAATTTTAGAAGGAAGAAACTGAGGTTCTGAAAGAGACGTGGTGTACTAAAGTTTATCCAATCAAAGCATTCACAGAGAGGGAGTAGATCACATACAGAACAGTGGTGACTTTGGAAAAGATCATATGATAGCTAGCAAGACTATGATGAAAGGTTGCTAGAAGGTTATTCAAAGGTGCATTTTGTGAGGGCAAGATTGTAAGGCATGTTAGGGTAGGCATTAGGGTGATTAAAAAAATGTATTTGCTTACCACAAAAGGCAAGTACAGGTTCTGCACTGATGCCTGTCCTGGTCTTCTTTCCCTCTTGATGTTAGAATGTGGCAAATGCTCGGTAATCAGTGAGCCAGTGATTTCCAAGGCTCTTGTCTTTGTCTGCATCCCATGTCCAGGGATTGTGCAGTTGGCTAACTGCACCAAAGCCTGGAGACCAGGTGTCTGCCAGGACTGAAGCTCAGTCTTTCCCCCTCTCACGAAGCCCTATACCATTAGCTAAGTACTGTAACCATCCTGAGACAAGGGTGCCATTTTCTTTACTCCAGATGTACATAACCTACCAATGTTTGCACCCATGCCAAGCTGGCCGTGTCCAGAGGAGGGTGCTTTTTCTAACTTTCAACCAAAAATACAGGCAGAAATGGTTCTGCGTGTGCCTACTTCTCTGTTAGAAAGGAAACCCTCCTCTTACTCACACTCATTGGATTCCAGTTAAGCCACTATTTGCACGGGCATTCCCCAAGGAAATTCACGCTGGAGAAGAGAGATGAAAATATCTATCTCAATTCTAACTTTGTGTAGGAACTCCATTCTCCATATATCCATAGACTATTGGATTCCTTTAGCCTGTGTGTGAAGAAGGATCTGATACAAAGCCTAAGTCTTACTGAAAGCCTTATTGTCTTTAGTGAAGTGTTAAATAGTCGCCTTCAAGCATTCACTTTTTTAGATGTCTTTGCAGGATTTAAAGAAAGAATAAAACATGCCAGGATATTTATGATTCATGAGATTTAATAGAGACCAAAGTAGATCTTATTATTGATGTGCTTACTGCTTCATTAAATTCCCCTTAAGGTTTGCAGCTTGGATATGGATCATTTGCAATAATAATTATGCAGTGATCGATTGATTGGGTCTGACATTGCACTTGTCACCTTGAAATGCAAAATCCATCCATTTTCAACAGTGTGAACATTTCTCTCTAATCTTGCACACCAGCATGTGATAGTTTATTTTATGGAGAAAGTACAATTTATAAAGTTTGGAGACTTAACATTAACCTTTTACTAAGAATGAAGTATCACTTGTCATTTTACAAAGAAATGAAAATCATCCAACCAGCAATTTTTTTGAGATTAGAAAACACAGCCTAATTTCAGAAGAATTTTTCAAACCC